TCCAGTAGAGATGGTGAGGTGGTGGGTTAAGAGTTCGACATTGAAGAAGAAAGTTTGGTTATGTAGGAAAAAGAGAGTAGAGGAAGAAGATAATGAGTCACATCAGATTTTTTTTAACGATAACTAAACATAGTGATTGTAATGAAACTGAATTAAAAGTTTAATGACTGTAATGCAATTTTTAAAAGCTTGGTGGCTAAAGTAAAAATATCCTAAAATTTTAGTGACTACCAATGCAGTTTATCTTTATTAATTTGGGTAAACTACAAATTTCATCATTCAATTTTCTTCATACTACTATTTTGGTCACTAAACTTGAAATTTTTCAATGTAATCATTGAAATTTTTACCATTGAATAGTTAATGATGTTATGGCATGATAAACAATATCAAAATGATGTTGTTTTAGAAAAATCAAATTTACACCAAAACGACATCAAATCTGTAACCCCCAGACCGATGCGGGTAACCCGATCCGATCTGAGGTGTCACATTAGGGCCACCGGAGCGACCCACTGTAAAAATAACGGAAAATTTAAAACTTTTATTAAAACATGTAAACTCATAAAATCATTTGTCACTATTTAAAAATAAAACAGATTTTCAGACTCGTATATAAAACAAAATACAATTACATGCCCCCTAATCACATGTACCATACTCTACAAGCAACTCCAGAATAACTTCTTTACTGATGTTGATAGATGAACTGATACGATTCTTTTAACCTGAAAAGGTGAGTAACAAAGTGAGCTTCGGAAAGCTCAGTAATACAGAACTACCAGATGATGCTGAAGAACATGCAGATACAGATAAATGTATTTTTCCTTATTGGTTCAGATATTTACAGATTTCTTAGGCTGAGCTGAGGTCCCATTGATATTTCAAGTATTAACAGGTGGTATTCAGTTCTGATGGAAAATATTTGAGATGTTTAGGTTCAGGAGATCAGAATAGGTTTTTTAGTGTGTTCCCAAAAATCATGTAACTTTTCAGATCTTTTTAAAACATATATATATATACCCCCATCCGTCAAGTCCAAAATGTGTATGTTCCCCAAAACCATACACCCACCGTCAAGTCCAGTAAGGCTCTGAGCACATAGCAGGGGAGCCGGTAAATAAGGCCCTGAGCACACAGCCAAGGAGCCTCCAGGTATACTTCCTCCAACATTACCCCCCAAATAAAACATGTTCTGTTCGTAAACGGATATATCAAAAATCAAAACATAATCCAGGTCAAGTATCAGATCAAAATCCAGGTCAAGTATCAGATCAAAATCCAGGTCAAGTATTCGATCAGAATCCATGTCAAGTATCCGATCAGAATCCATGTCAAGTATCCGATCAGAATCCAGGTCAGGTATTATAATAGAAATCAAAACGGAAATCATATAAAATATCTAGGTGATTAGGGAAGACACCAGAGTTTACAGAAATTATTCAGAGGTACTGGATAATCTTAGCAGGTAGAGAAACATGAATCTTCAGTATACCGATAAGATATCGAAATTTAGAATCGCTATAGGAAGAGTTCAATAACTAACGAAATCATCAGTTATTCAGAATATGACTTGGGCTGATAAGGAAGAAATGAAGATTCAGAACATTTACAGTCTATGTCGATTGATTTCATTATCAAACAACTTCAGATGAATATCTCCCATAATTAATGCTTATTGACTGGTCAATTCATTGTCCTTACAGGGTATTTACACTTTAATACTACAAATTCTAGTCCATATATAATCTTCGGAATCATCATTGAATAAATCTTCCAATGTCTTTATTTCATGTCAAGCTTCCACTATATCATGAAATGCTGGCATGCTTGATTGTAGTTCAAGACCCATAAGAACATTACATCATATATGTTCATTAACGTTTCCAGACTCATCCAAATCACTTACTTAATCCTTAGTCCTTGAGGTTACTTAGTTCATTTAGCATTCAAGTCTATTCCAGTTACTTCGGGATTTTCCAGAGTAATTCAAACGTTACTGAATTTCAGATATATATTGTACTTCCGTTTCATTCAATTTGGTCTTCGTGGTTGATTTGTCGAACAAACGTCCAATTCTTAGTACTGAATGCGATCTAGAGTTGAGTTGAGCTGAATACTTCCAAAATTTATCATTGAGCCAAACTTGAGAAGACGAACATGCATTCCAGTAATATCTATGCCATTCAGGTATTGACATAGCTTTAGGTTGATCTACTTACTTAAATTGTGTTCCATTACTTTTAAATGTAGTCCAATACCTATGTTTATTTGGATTCCTTAATTAATCCAAGACATTTACTTAGTTTAGGCTATAAGGTTATTTTGGTAATTTTGGTGTTTAGTTTTATTCCATTCATTTCAGAGCTCGAGGATATCCAATCATTTCTGAGCTTGGTGATATTCTTTGGTCATTTCTATTACAGGGGTATTTTGGTCATTTTACAGATTCAGTGTATTTTAATCTTTTTCTTCCGTCCGATCTTACTATTAAATCCAATCTTATTATTTATTTCAGTCTTTTCGAACAATTCTGACAGTAGAATACCCCCGATAAATTATTCTTCAGGTATGTACTCATTACTCGAATATTTTCGGGTCAAGTGCCTTATCATAATTTACAAACGGAATATCATGAATTTTTTTGTACAAAGACAGGATCTTAACAATTAAATTCGTACTTAATCGAGTTAAGTACAAATCCTCAAAGTACTTTCTCATTCAGGGTCAACTCAGACTATTTTACCTCTTAAGGGTATTTTCGTAATTTCTTAACCAAATAATTTCGATAATAGCTCTTAAAGAAAATAATTATAATTTAAAGATCCTATGGTCAATTGCTTTCCTGAACATTCTCTGATCTTGAAATTATTCTTTAACAAACTTTTAGCATCTTGCGCAAACCCTTTTTGGCGTTAAAAATCAGTTATCCAAATTTTCTAAACAAAACTATTATTTCTTATGCACATTTGTAATTATATCGGATCAATATGTCTTTTCAGAGTTATTAACCAACTTCCAGGGATAATTCTTGTCATCCTACAACATAAGGGTATTTTCATAATTTTACCATACCGGAGTATTCTCAGTCAAAACGGACTGCAGAATCGGATTTGGAACGTCAAAAAATGTTAGGATAGGTATACTCGATCGAAGTCAAAAGTCGTTTAATGCCCAGTCAAAGCCGGTCAAAGTTCTAGTCAACTGTGGTCAACGCTGGTCAACAGTCGACTATTTTACACAAATATCACCCTAACAAAAATTAATTACCAAATTAGCCACATTCTACTAATATTTACTAAACTAACACCCGAATTTTACACGAATAGCACCCAAATAGAAATTAATTACAAAATTATCACCCAGACGATGCCCAATCTCGAGGGGTGGCGCGTCCGGCGCGTGAACAGTAACCCGGTGTCGAAAAATTCCTGGAAAAATTCCTAAAAATTATTTTAAGCGATTTTGAGGCACTTATAAAGCTCGGTTCGTAATTTTGAACGGCGGAGAGCTCGATGCCAAAATGTCAGAAATTTTGACGGTCTCATCCCTCTACGCGCCGGTGACGAAGGAGAAACGGAGAACACTGGTAAACTCGGAATGATGCAAGGAACACGATGGTGCGGAATGTGTCGTAAACATATGGTCGGATCGTCGTGAATCGACGAAAAACCAACTGAAATCGAGTTATTACCGATCATACTTCTGACTGAAATTAACGACGAACGGCGACGATTCACGACGAAAGGTTTGAGGGGTTTTGTTCCTCGGTTGACAACGAACATGATGGTGATTTCGGTCCATCGATTGGAGGTCAGACGGTGAGTAGATCGGAGTTGAAAGTGAGTTGACCGGATGAGGAAAATTGAGCATTTTCTGCAGAAAACAATCGGGGAAGAGAACTTATAATTCTCTCATAAAAGAAAATGGCTAAATTATAAGTTTAGTCATTGAATTTCTTGTACTTCTTAAAATGATCTTCTAACTTTGCGATTTTATAATTTAATCCTCAATTTCTTCCAAAATATCAAATTAAATTCACTATTTTATAATTTTTTAAATTTTAGCCCCTTAATTGGGGTGTGACATAATCCATATAAAATCCATTTTTTCTTATCCTCATTTTTCTTCCTCTTATTTTCTCTTCATCTATCCAGATTTTAGTTATTACTTGTTGTGACTGACCATCGTATACGACAGCCGATGAATCTTAAAATTTTTCACCAAACTCGTTTTATCTCCTTAACACGGTTATAGCGTATGTTTAATAAGAAAACACCTCAAACTACATGCATCTAGCATTGGACACTTTAGTTCTTGTATCTTACCTCCTTTAAATATTCAATCATATTGATTTTGAAATGTGTATTTCTTCATTATCTCTTTTGCATTCTCATCATTGGGAACCTCAAGCAAATGTTGGAGTTTTGAGATGATTCGTGGTGGATTAAGCAAGCCAACTTTTCATTCTTTTATATTTGAGTAACTTAATAAGCTTAACAGATATCTAAATTATTGATAAAACAAAGTCTGACGGTAAGTAAGATTTTATAGATAAATATAAAGTTTGAATGTGAGAACACTACAATATTTGTCTCATATATTCCATCTGACGTAGTGGTTGTGGGCAACAAGGGTAGTGATTGTTGGTTCAATGAGATTTGGGTGAAATGGAAGTTAGATTTAAACTTGAGGATTGAAATAAGACAAGTTAAAAAATTTGAGTCTAACATCGCTAAAAACAATGATCGACGAGAACCTGTGGTCGAGAAACGAGTTGTTTCCTATATAACTAAAAAATTAAAATAATCAATTTCACTAGACAATAATAGTTGAGAAAACGGAAGAGTGACAAAAAAATCAATATTTAAAGTTAAATAATTAAATTAAAATTTTAAAATTTTAATAACCAAATACGAGTGAGAATAAATTTGAGTGATGAAATTTGTAATTTAACCTATTAATGGTTTGTGTTTTCAGAATTTTGAGAGAGAGAAAACAAGCTTCAACCAAAATATCAAAGCTTTGTACGAACAGCTCTAGATCTGCAGGGGTCTAAAAGTGTTGGATGCTTGTTAAAATTCAAATTTCGAAAATAAATTAAAAATGGAGCAATGGAAAACAAATGTACTGTGATCTCGAACGAGCGACTGGCATTCATCTTTTTTCAAGTGGCCAGGCGAGCGCGATGCGATGGACTCCGAAACGGCTTCGTCCGCAGATGAACATCAAGCGTTTGGTTCAGCAGCAGCTGATACCAGAGGCAAACATCGGATTCTTGCTGAACTCAAGCGTGTCCAACAAGAATCCAAGTTCCTTGAGGTCAGTTTTTTTTTGTTTCTTTTATTCCTATTTTCACTCTTTTTTCTTGGATTGTGCATGTTTTCAGTTGTGTTCTGCTCTTAGTTTCTCTAGAAATTAAGTGGCGGGATTTAAATTTGTTTGTACTTTGATCAATTTAAGAATAAAAAAAGGTGGAGACTGAATCTAGCTTAAAAAAAGTATTTGAATATACCACGATCAGAAAGCCTGAGTTTTTTCTTTTAAAAAAATTCCCTTTTGCAATCTTTAAAGGAAATGATGGTTATAATTCCACTATTTTGATTAATCCATGTAATTGGTTTGTTCAACTTGGTGGCTTGAAGCCATTCGAAGAGAAAGCTAACATCTTTATGCTACAAGCTTTATTTGGATGAAAACTATTCAAAACAGATCTTTTAAATTGGGTGGTTAATAGTTTCCTTATTTTGTGCAAAGTTTGAGTTCTTGAACTTACAATAAAATCCACCAGGGATGTTGAAGATATGATTCATTCATCAAGTTCTAAACTTTCTTTGATTCTTTTCCTTGAATTTACTAATGAAAGCCTCTTCTGGTTAAGTCTTTTCGGCATCATAAACCGTACTTTGATTGCTCCCCTATATGTCATGATGAAGAATTAAGGCAATGTTCAGTGTTTAAAATGCTTCTGGAAAGTCTTTGTTATGGAAAAGAGTTTTTTGAATTGGTATTTGTTTTGTTAATCTTGCTATGCTTCACCGTCATCGGTGATGTTTTCCATCAGTTAAATAAAGGAACTTTTTGCAGACATGGTGTGCACCTCTACATGGTGGTGGCTAATTTGCCTTATCCATTAACACTTGATGATTCTTTCTCTGTGCAACATTTTTCCAGGAAGAGGTGGAAGAGCTTGATAGAACAGATAATGTTTCAACATTGTGTGAAGAGTAAGTTTAAGAACCAAGTTCTTCTTTCCCATGAAACTTCAAAAGTAGAAAGGAGGACCAAAACATTTATCACTATATTAGCAAACTCCATCAATAGAGGTTTCAAAAGTCCTTTTTTATGCTGATTATCTTTCAAGATAGTCATGTTACCTTGGGCTTCTCGATCTAATTTATTAACTCAATCAACTGTCGGTTTGCTTCGCTCACTTTAGTTGTATGATAACACGTTTGACCGGAATTAGTATCTGCCTTTCTTTGTTTCCCTCAGTATGCTGCTTCGTACGGTGAACAGACCAGATCCACTCCTTCCATTGTAATTACAATAACTTATATTGTCATCATGTTTTCTGTTTTAGACCAAAGTTGCTTTTACGTCTAATGCTTTGATTGTGATTGTGATTACAGAACAAATGGTCCTATAAACCCATCGTGGGATAGATGGTTCGAAGGGCCACAAGACTTGCCAGGTTGCCGATGCTGGATGCTCTGATCTGATACAATCTAACATGTGTTGACAACATATGCCACATGCTAACATGTGACTGCTCAATTGTTAACAAATATTCAATTGGAACTCTCAGTGTGCAATACCAAATTTTTAGATGGATTAAATGGAGTTGTACAATTTACTATCCTGGCTCTGATGAAATTTGTATATCAGATACATCATACATGCTTTGCAGATACCAGATTTTGTTTGCTTTCCCCTCCATTTCCTTTCCATGTACACACACATATACGCAAGGTCATAGAATTAAGCTATTTAAATCCAAGCCCCCAAGACAAACAAGATCACTGAGCTTTAGAGGATGTGTTATTGATGATTTATGAGAATTCCAGCCACCATTCTCGGCAGCAACACCACTAAAACAACAGCTAGTATCTGAACATATGGCGTGTTCAACATTGGAAAGGAATTCACACCAAGCATCAAGAAAAACAGTAGTTAAATATATCCAACAAACATCATTCCTACAATAAACAAAGATCCTCAAGTCCAAAACAGCAATCCTAGCAACACACACTATTAAAGTACATATCAAAGTATCTCGTCGAGTTAAAATAGGCAAATGTAATCAATCCTTGGTGGTTTTGTTGATTAGGGACTTGTGAATGTGAGGGATGACACCACCTCCAGCAATGGTACCTTTGATAAGGGTGTCAAGCTCTTCATCCCCTCTAATGGTGCCTCGGAGTGATTCTCTTCACTTTCAAATCCTTGCTTGCATTTCCAGCCAACTCGAGAACCTCCGCAGTCAAGTACTCGAGGATAGAGGCCAAGTAAACAGCAGCTGTGGCCCCAACTCTGCCATTTGTAGAGGCTCTAGACTTGAGATGACGGTGTATACGACCCACTGGGAACTAAATATATTTAAGAAGAAACATGGAACGTTTAAGGGTCTTTTCCAATACTAAATATAGCAAGCATATAGCTCATTCTAGAGCTGTAAATAAGACGAGTCGAGTTTGAGTATTGTTAAGTTCGGCTTAAAAACTCACAAGCTAAAAATTGTCTAGTTAGACTCAAACTCAAAGTCAAAAATTGAAGCTTGACTTGAGCTAAAAAAAAAGCTTGAACTTGAAACGTTCTCAAACTTAACATATAGATGCTAATATTACTAATAATTTAATTTGAAAAAAATCAGATTTTAATATTTTTTTTTTCGAGTTGCTACTTGGGCTTGTTAAAAACTCAATCAAATCTATTCGAATTGAGTGTCAATCAAACTTTGATGGAGTCAAACTCGAATAGCTTATTATATGTTTTGTCCCATTTACAACCTGGCTAATCCAAACACCTGGCAAACAAAGATGACTGGATTGTGTTAAAGAATTAACAAAGCAAATATGTTTAACCCAGAAAACAGGAAAATGACAAGTTATTTAATGTTATTAGCGGGAAAATTTCCAAAGATGCGCCATATTCGTGCAAGGAGAAATTAGGAACCAAACAAAAAAAGAATTGATGAAAGTTAATTAAAAATGCCTCTGAGAATCAAAGATACTACATACCTGAATTCCGGCACGAGAAGAACGAGAAACCGGGCGCTTCTTGTCCTTATCCTTGTCCTTGTTAGCTGAGGTTGTTTTCGCCGCCAAAAGCCCCTTTCCGCCTTTTCCTGCCATCTTTGTTTACCTTAGCGATAAAGAAACCACAGTTGATTCTGAATCAGTACCCAATATAAAAGGAAAAAATAATACTACCAGGAATTAGTAAAATCGGAGATCTGCTAAACGCTAATCAGATTCAAAGTATAAAATTTAAATCGGAAAAAAATAGGTTGGGGAGAAAGAGACCTGATAGAGATGGGGAAGTGGAGAGCCAAGATTTTTTTGTTCGAGGAGAAGTGGAAGGTTGATATTTCCTCCCAGGCTGAGATTCGTTTGACCATTAAATTCGAAATGGCGGTTAATTTTGGGTGGGAAAGTTCTTCGATTTCACCGTTTCAAAAGTTTTCGCACATATTACATAACTACCCTTTTCTTTTACCTGAATTGAGTGAATTCCATGCCGTAAATTCCCAGGGTTTCCTCATTTGGACTGATAATAGGTTTTTGGTAAACTACATATTTAGTCACTACTTATTCCCGTGTTTTTATTTTGGTCATTTAACTATTATTTTTTAAAATATCATACATAATATTAAGTTTTATTGTATTTTGATCCCTCGCCTCCAAAAAAAAAGTTAATAGTAATACTTTTGTTTCATCACCTTATTAAAATAAAATGAACCAAAAAAATTCTTAAATGCAAACAATACGAATTAATCCTTAGCCACTTTGAAGTAAGGTCATGCACTCAGCCACCACCAGGCTAAGTATGTTAGTAATATTGTATCTCAACACGTATATATTTAGATTCTACTACATTATCGTAATAAAATAAATTATATTTGTTAAATCTAAGATTCAAACCTAAAACATTTTACAAATGTATTAAAATACTTGATCGTTCAGTTGGACTAGAAATTTATTTATGATTCATTAGAATTAATATATGTTTTATAATATTATTAAATTAAAGAAAAATATTTTTCAATTAACTTGGAAATAAGAAAATGATTAAATATTTTTATATATTTTATAAAATCAATATTAAATTATTCTAAAAATTAAATTTATAATAATTATTTATGATAGAATATAAATTTTAAATTATTTAGAAAATATATTAAAAAATTATATTCTATTCTATCACAAATTAGTGCTCTAACCAAGTACAACATATATCACAATCTAACTGGAGAATTAAATTTATTGAATTAAATTAAAATTGGGATCAAATTAATTGCATGTGCAAGTAATAAAGATCAAATTTTCTAAAGCGAGTAGATAACCCAATTCAAGGTCACTTGCCTGCTTGTCAAACAACGAGCAGCCATTGTCAATGGCCCATCCACCTTTAACAGCTGAAATGAAGTAATACCATATTAGCTCCTTCAGCACCAAAAATAGAGTTCATAGCAATTTCTTACAGAATTACTTACCCTTTAAATTTTAACCAAGTAGCTAACTAGCCAATGTTATGATGACAGATATGATATGATGGCCAATGATGATGATCTTAGGTACAAAAAATTTAGTGAGAATGATCAATGCCAATGAATAGATATAACCAATAGTTTTACCAACAGCTAAGTTCTGAATCCCTGGCTCAATGACACAACAGGAAGCGCAGTAATATTCAGCTTTGTTTGTTGTTCTTGGCAGCCGAATGGGGTAGTCCGGGTTCCCAGCCAGGAATGGGTACGCATGGACTTGCAACAGGGCAAATCTGCTTTTGCACACCACCAGGCGTGTGCTGCAATGCAGATGGTTCAAAAACATTTTTCACTCCTATTTCTGTTTGTGGATTCACAATAGGAGAAACCAAGTTGTTGCTTCCATAACTGTTGTCCAATCTCGGGTGATGCATGGGAGAAGCGATGCTCGGAACTGGTTGGTGAAATAACTGATTAGTATTTGGCTGCATTGCCACCAAACCTGTAGATGCTTCCAATGGATTGCTAATGAAAGGCATGCCTACACTAGGTACAGTGGGCCGAGATATATTACAAGGATTAATCCCAGTCACTCGCTTAACTGTTTCCTCGGCCATTTTCACCTGAAAATTTCAGAATAGAACAATCAAACCTGACAACCCAGAAACAAAGTTGCAGAGATCATAACCAACAGTGATTTTTAGCAAGTAGTAAAATAGTTAAATAACTATAATACTCTTGCAGCAGTTTCAGACATAAAGATGCATGATTGTGTTTCACAGTTGTCAACAGTCCAAACACTGACATTACACAAGAGATCATGTCAGTATCTATTGTATAAATTTAGATAGACATACAAATCATGAACAATTTTAGGTATATGGACGGTTGAACACACCATAGAAGTAACAGTATGTCAGTACCAGACATGTCCAGCAGATTCCTGGAATGAAGCACATACAAATCGCCAAAAACCAAATTAATCACCCTTCCTCAAGAGAATTGCTGATAATATATTCTGCAAGCACATTTGCAGTTAAATCCTTCAATTCTAGATGAAGAAGGAATGTGAATTGCTCATGGCTTTTTCAAAATTTGCCACAGACTAATCTTCAGAAACTTCTGTTGTCAAATTAACATATTTTCCTGTCATTTATTTCGAAGTAAGTTTTCAACTTTCAGGAGACCATATATTAACTAACTGAAGAATGAAAGGGCAAGGCTTACCTTCGCTCTTAACATCTCAATATCAGCCTTCAGAATTCTATTGTCAACAGCAGCTTCATCGTACTTGTGATTCGTGTCAGTTAGACGCTCGAGTAACGTGGAATGTTCAACTCTTAATTGAGCAACCTAGAAAAATCACTAACATGATAAAAAAAGACCAGAAAACAGAGAGCATGAGACCATAAGGGGAAGGGATAATGATGTGGAAAAACCTGTGCTTCAAGTTCATTAATATGTGCTTGCTTTCTTCTTCTAGAGCGCCTAGCTGATTCTCTATTTGACCGCATTCTGAGGCATCACCAAAATACCGATTAGTTGAGGGAAATTTTGTGACGGTGTCAGCAAAATAAAAAGTGAGTTCAGTAAGAATTTATTAATTAACACATCTGGTAGTAAGGTAAGGGATAAGCTTAAGTTCTATTTACTTCAGAGGTTTTTCCCCCTGCTATTACTCAAAGATTAAAAGAGAAGATATACCACTTTAATTAGGACAAGGGAAAAGAGAAAAAAAAAAAGTTAACATTCTAAGCAAAAGATAATATAACAAAAGGAACAGATAGCATTTCAAACACCTCAAAATCAATGACACAACAAAACAATACAAAAATGATTACCTCCTTGCACGCTTTGCATCAGCCGGATCCATGTTTTCGGTGGTTTCAGTATCTCCTTCAAGTTCACCATCATCTGAATCTTCTTTTGATGATCCACTTGTGGTTTGCCTCACTAGTGTCCCTGATTTTTTTTGTTTAGTTGAAACAGCTGAAATACCAGTATCAGGTTCAATCTGTTCATGTGTCTTTGAGGACCCTACAACGATGGAATTTGAATTAATAAAATCAGCAAGATTCAGTTAATAAGTAATTACAGGACGAGAATATGTCATAAAGAGCTCTAGAGTTCTTTAGTATATTGTTTACTATTCAAATCTTGGAAAATGTAAAGAAAAGTTGGTTAAAAGAAGTGAAGAAAAATGATGTATCGCAGGTTCCTTGTTTTGTTGGAATACCTACCTAAAGTTTATGTGAAAAACAAAATTTATGAAAATCTAGTAAAGAAAGTTACTTCCATTTTTATGTATCCCTCCATTGTTTTCTCATTTTCCTTTACTTCTCTCTTTAAACACAAGATAAATTGGAGAATTAATCACATTGCACTCAATATTAAACTCCAACATTCCACCAGAACTCTGATCGTACTGAATTTCAGTAAGTCAGAGACCTTCATAAGTTCATCAATTCCCAAAATACAAGTATCACTAAGATGAAGAAAAACATATGTTTTAAACAAACTATAGCTCATTTTGCATCAGAACAGAAACACTTATTACCATTACCAACCGACTTTCATCCAATCTAATTACTGCAAAGACAGCTCTCAACCGACACGAGTTGCCGTACATAAAATTTTACTAGTTGAACACAATACCGGAAATTAAATATTAAAACAGATGAAAATTCTATAACACTGATAAAAGAAACCTAAGTTGATTTTTCCTTGTAAAGAAAATTCGCCTGAACAAATGCAATCAAATTTGGTAAAAAAGGATGTCAACAAATAAGATTATAACAACAGTAACTGTTCCTTTCCTCAGTATTAAAAAGTTACATCTGTTGCATAAGAGGGAAAAACAAAAGTCCAAATAGTCGGATTCATTAAAAAGAAATATCAAATCAGAGGCATGCTATAGCAAAAGCTTACCTTGAACATCTGATCCCGATTGAAGCGCTTGGTTTTCAGCTTTGGCAGACGAACTTTCTGCCTTCACAGCCGACGCCTGATTTTTTTATTTATTTTTTTGAAATATAACATTTCAGTTTTAAAAAATATAAACAAAATCCAAATGGAAAATGAAGATTAGAGAGATTAAATACACGAGAGAGGGCAACGGCAGCGCAGGCTTGATGGAGCTTGTTCTTGAGGATTGCGATGTACTCATCCGAGTCAATCGGGACCATCGGCGTCGAATCAGACGCCGGACGATTATGATTATTAAGCTCTTTGACCTCCACCACGCCACCATCCCCGTCAACCTTTTCAGCTTTCGAAACAGACGGCTGAGGTGCCGCCAAGGACGGACCATTCACATTCTCGCCTGCACGTGACCCCGGGATCGCCACACCCGCACCAGAAAATTCTTCTAGAAACTTGTCCAACGCCCACTCCGATTGGCTTCGGTTCATCCCCGCCGCCGCGCCTGAAGTTGAAGCCGCCCAGAAAAGTTCGCAGAAATCGTCAACTGAGAACACACTATTCATCGTTTTCAGTGAAGTCTTAATTTTCTCACTTTCTTCCCTATTTGCAATTTGCAACTCGTCTTTTTCCTCCTTCCTGTTTTATCATTTATGCGGGAACAAACAGCAAATATCTACCGCTTTGTTGTCTACAAATAAATCCAGTAATAATACGACACGTGGATAACATCCTGGTCTTTCGTGAACGTGTTAGTTTATTACTGGGTGATGGGAAAGCTATGCCTGAAATTTGGAACAGTTGATTTTGCCATGTTAGATCTGTGGGCTAAGGCCGAAAAAGAAATTAAGAGGGAAAGATGAGCGGATGCCATGAAAATTGAACGCATTAGGGACAAAATGCGAATGTGGGCCCATTTGTCGGGAATTTTGTTTGGACTATCCTTAAGCTACATTTTAAATTATAGTAATGAAATTAAATTAAAAGAGTAAAGTTATATTTATAATATAATAGTTTGTTTCAATATAAAATAAATTATCGTTAAATATTTTTTTACAGAGAGATTCTTTACCTTCAAGATGTTATAATAATTTGTATATTAGGTGACTTTTGTGTTTTAGTTGAAAGTGTAATTTGGTTTTCATAAAAATTAATATTAGGATGATTTAATAAGGTGAGATTTTATAAATAATAATACAGATTCTAATTATGACGTTGTGAATGTAAATAAATTGAATTAAAAAAGTTGTCCTATAATAGGTCTTTATAATATTTAATCCAAATTAATTGATTAATATATTTAAAATTGATAATTAAATTAAGAATCATAATAATAGGGTAATTACATTTTTGTTGGTGAAAACAATATTAGATATTAATATAAATTTTTTTTGGGGGGGAGGGGTTGGGCGGTTCATGCTATTGCATTTTATAATTCGGAGGTCTTCTACGAAAGTTGCTCTCAACCTGGTGTTGGGGGCAGCCTACTATCTTATCTCCCCCTTACCCCATTACATATGAGAACAAGGGACAACCAACCAACCATTATTAATATGTCGTAGGTAAATATAAATAAATAGAGTAGTATAAGATGATAAAATGAGTTTTTTTGTGTATAGGATAATCATATAAGGATATTGTAAATGATGACTTTCGAGTTTCAACGATAATTAAAAAAAAGTTATTAATATTTTTTGTTTAATCATCGACTTTAAATCTATTAATCAACTATTTTAGATTGAGTTTTGTAAAGGTCTACTATGAGACCGACCCATCAAATCCAGTTTGTTTCATACATAAACGCTATCATTCGAACTCTTAAATTCAATAAAAAAACAAAGAGAAAAAATATATTTTAACTTTCACGTGAAAAATATTAGGATAAAGTAAACAAATGATCCTCCGACTATATGATATTGATTTATTAAGTTCTCTTGCTATTAAAAGTTACAAAATTATCCCTCAACTATAGGGTGTTTCTTTGTTGAGTCTCTCGACTATTAAAAGTTATAAAATAGTCACCCGATTATTCATTATGCTAATCGTTAAAAATTTGATGGCAGTCTGAGTTTGACGTTAACTTGCTAACTGAGATATAAAAAAAATCTGATTTCACAGTCTCAAATAACTATCATATTTCAATCAACATGTTAACATCCAGTTCATATGACCATTTTGTAACTTTTAATAGTCGATGAACTCAACAAAACAACGTTCTATAATTGGAGGACTATTTTGAAACTTTTTATATCCTGTGGACTTAATAAAGTAATATCCTATAGCCGGAGATCATTTGTCTATTTTACCCAAAATATTATATCATCCACTGTTTCAAATTTAATGATATAGTGAAAAATAAATAAATTCAAAAAGTGCAATGCTATAACTAAATATATATATATATATAATAATTCATAACTACAGTTAAAATACTCCTAAGTGAAGTGACTGATGGTGTAATTTATCTTAAAAATTAATTTTTAGACATCCATATTCCAATCCTCTTCAAATATTTGTAAGGTTATTTTGTGTCTACATATTTTGTTAAATTAAAATTATGTACAAAAATCCAAATGATTGCTGTGTTGGTTATGGACAGTAACTCCCCATGGAAGGCTAGGGTTTAAATAGGGATACGTACGTTGGGTGGTTTTAAGCCTTCAAATATATATTTATGTATTAATTAGTCTAATGTTTAAACAATATGCATAAATTTCATAATAATTCATCGAGTGAGTTCAATAATAATTAAATAAGAGACATTATTATTTTTTATCATTAACGAAAATAATCTTTTATCAAATCGGATTGAAAGATAAATATTTATTTTAAAATTCAAGAAAAATAGAATACCATGAAAATTTAAGACGTATAATCATTAAATAAAAATCACTCTCCATGCCCACCACTATTTGTACCAATTTAGCCCACATGAATTTTTGTTTTTATGCACGTGGGGATATTTTAAAAAATAAAAAATAAATTTTCATTAAATAACAAGATATGATACAACAAAGCTAACACAATCTAATATAAAAAAAATTTAAAGAGTGTAAAGAAAATACAATCAAAATATTCCCTTAAATATATGTTTTATCTTTTAAAAAAATCTAACAATTTTCAATAATATTTTTGTCTCTATTTAAAACTAGACGTAACATTGGTATAGATGTGAAGATTGAAGGAACTAATATGATAGATTGTTCAGTGAAAGATTTTAAATTAATCAACAATATGACATAGAAAGATATCTAACTATAAAAGACCGTCTATATTTTTTTGATTAAGAGATGTGTCGTGATAAATAGACACGTAACACTAAATTATCAAAACGATATAAAGAATAATGTCATAAAAACAGAAAAACAATTATAATATAAAGTAGACAAAAATAAACGTTATAAACATATATCAAAAGGAAAAAAATAAAAAAAATATTTAAATCTAAATAAAAGAATTAAATAATAGAAAAAATTAACCCACTAAACTATCGTCTTAGACATGAAAAAAGATTAAAATATTTTTTTTAAATTATAAATGAAACTATAAATCCAGAAGTGCTACGTTACCCCCAAAAATAATTTTATAATTATATTTTAGTTTAGCCGTGAGTGAGTTATTCAGATTATCTTTGGCTAAAATTTAGGGTCAAACATATTTTAGCCCCCGGAAGTTTCCACGTAAACCATTCTGGAGCAGAAATAGAGACGTTGCCGTTTTAATAGGTAATGTTTTTCTACTCAAAATCAAAGCGTTTTGATTCGATCGGGTCTCGTATTATCCGGTAAATTTCTTACGTACAGTGAGTCAGCCTCTCTGAATTCGCCCAGGTACTTAAAATCGAACGTAACAGGCGATTCATTAGAGAAAGGTAGAGTTATTTATCTCCTCATATTTGATCCCAAATCTCAATCAGAAGCCTAGGTTTTAAATCATCTTTTGATTTTGTAGTTCAAAAAACTTTATTAATGGCGAACAGAGCTCAAATCCCCACTAGCAACTCAGCTCTTATTGCAATGATTGCCGACGAGGTGAGTCTTGCTTTTGAAGCTGCCTAAATCAGTACACGGATCTCGGCTCCTTTTTCCGCTTTTCTGTCATTTTATTGTATTTTGCTCTTGTAAATTTGCCGGTCATTCTTCTTGAATTAACTCACACTGTGAGAGCAGATTTAATTTGGAGTTTCCCCCTTTAAAAAGAATGGATAAGTTAGATTAACTGAAGCCGCTATTGGGTGAATCGGTACGAAATATTTTTTAAGTTTGATGCACGTTGCTTGGACTTAGTAGTACCGTGCTAACCGATCTGCAAACTCAGCTTAATCTGTTTGTTGTTTTTGAAGACGGTGAAAAGTAAATACCATTCAGATTTAGCTCTATGGTGAACAATCATAAGTTCATTACACAATAAACTCCATGGTGAGTTTGCATGATTCTGGTATGCTAAGGGAAAAGTTCACATTTCTATAAAGCTTTAGCTGTGCTAGCTGATTCGTAAACTTATTTTGCTTGTTTTTTTTTTTATGGGAATGAATAGTAAATACCATTTAGATTTAGCTCTATGACACATTGGCATAAGTTCATAACACCATGAATTTCATGACTGGTTTTGCTTTTTTGAATGATTCTGGTATTTTATAGGAAAAGTTCACTCATTGCCATACAGTTTATTGAATTCCCCCAAAACACCTATTCGTTCATTTACCATGTTTCCTACCATAGCATGAATAAGACTATGTGTATGTCATGGTTTGATGATTATATGCTCTGCCTCTACTAATGTTGTTAATATGATGATAGTGTCATTACATGTGATTTTCAATGCATTTTATTCAACCTGTCTGATTCATAATTTGTTGTGCTAGGACACTGTGGTTGGTTTTCTGCTGGCTGGCGTGGGTAATGTTGACCTGCGGAGGAAGACAAATTATCTTATTGTAGACTCAAGTATGTTCTGTAACTTTATGTGTTTTATTACTATCATTTGAATAACTCACCTTTTAAGAATGGTCTCTGCCAAACTCTTGCCAACATTTTATAGTTACTTGCTATTTTATCTTCCATTCTCTCATCCATTTCAAAGGTTCATCAGTTATTTACTTTCTCTAAATCACCTTAGGGTATTTGCTTTAGCTTAGCCGAATTATGTTCAGGTTGGCCGTGGTTTATCTTCTGTTTAGATAACGAGTGGAAGAACATGATCTGGTAGTAAGGAAAATGCCATCCAGGATTGTTAAATTAAATGTATGCCTTTTGGTACTTTTTCTTTAATTTTTGTAACTACATGGTCTGTTAAATATTTGTTGTTACACATTATCATAGTTGAATTATGTTCTCAGAACTTCTGATTGCAAGTCATTTTTTATTTTAAACTTTCAGGTGTCTTGTTTTTAAATTTTTGTTTGGGTGGAACCACATGTTTGTGCCTTTACCTGTATAGAAGTACAAAATGGTTTATATCTCAAAAGGAAGGTTTCTACATTTTACATTGTATGTGTATCAACAAGGAAACGAAGTAATTAATCATTTTTCAGGAAACCCCCCCTCCCCCAAAAAAATGTCCTTTCGTTTGGTAGCAAGGGAGGGAAGCTTGAACAGGAAAGATAGTGTATAATCCTCTGATATGACTGTCGGGATCAGAATAAATATCAGATTTTATCTCCTCTTAGTTCTTTCTTTGTTTGTTTTTTCTATAAACAAATAATCTCGTATAGTTATTTTCATAATCAAATTAAATATCACCAGACTTTTTATCATTTACTCGATGCTTTTTTTTCTTTTGCCTTTTAGAAACCACCGTTAAACAAATAGAGGATGCCTTTAAGGAGTTCATGACAAGAGAGGATATTGCTGTTGTTCTGATTAGCCAATATGTAAGTTTTTTGCCGATTATGTTGCTGTAAAACATCAATTGTTTTCTGCACTTTTACGCAAATGTATATTTGTTTGTTAAGCTGTATTATGCACAGAAGTCTTAACGTGTGGCTGGAGGGCTATGAAATGCTAACAAGCATATATCATGTAAAATCTCTTGCTTCCATCATCATAACTAAGTCACACTTATAGCACTCCACAGGTGACTGTTGGTCAATTATCTGTGATGTGTTAACCTATATTGTTTTAACATCAAAGACACGTATAGTAGATTCAGTAATGACGTGCATTATTTGAGTGATTACATGTTCTAACTTTTATTTACATGAATCACATGATCAACAACAACCAAAGATACTAGTAAATCATAATACTGATGGTGAAATCTGGTCAAATACAAAATCTGCCATTTGATAAAATGCATTGTAAAATTTGGTGATCTTCTAAACTCTCTTTTGCACGATTAGTTTATATTTCAGTCCATCCAGAGCATCTTGAACTCTGGTGCTAAAATCGGCAAGATTGGCTGTCTCATCTTGCACGCTCTTACTGTCATTTTGATAAATTTCCCTTTTGCTTTGGTAGCTCCATCTTATTCTGTTGTTGAGTTACTAGTTTACTAGCTAGTTAGACTAACCGAAGGTGTTGTCTTCTTATTCTTTAACGTTCATATTTTCATCTATAATGATACCAATCCAGACACAAATATAGAGCAATAAAGAATTTCTATTTGATTTGCATTTCAGCTCAGGTTTGGTATCGAATTTAAGATGCGGCCCTCTACTCTTTTAATTTCAGGTTGCAAATATGATAAGGTTTCTAGTGGATAGCTACAATAAGCCTGTTCCAGCAATTTTGGAGATTCCATCTAAGGATCATCCATATGATCCTGCACATGATTCTATCCTTTCACGGGTTAAATACCTCTTTTCTGCAGAATCAGTGGCATCTGGGAGGCGTTAAATGCCAGATGTACACTTATATCACTTCTCGATTGCTTCATGTTCCTATTCCTTTGCGCATTGTATGATATAAATTCCTTTTCCCGAGAGTTGGTAAGGGGTTTTCATCATAATTTCCTCTAGGTACAGTATGCATCTGTTGTTCTAAGATATGCTTTTATGGCCTTTTGAATTGAATAATTATGTTTGAAGAAACTTTTGGAGGTAGGAGGTGTTATCAGGCAAAAGTCTGTTTGATGCTTTCTTCTTGACGTAATAATGGGTTGATTGAAATGTCAACTTGTCTATGGTTTAATTGGAGTAAGGGTGTAAATGAATTGTGTTTCAACAAGTAAGGTTACGTTCGTGTTCATTTGTTTATTTTTGAAGGAGCTCATATTTGGTTTGTATTCATTTAAATTTTCAGTATCATGTTTGTATATGTTTATTTATTTTTGAAGGTGTTCATGTTTGTTTGTTTAACGACATATTATGTTCATTTAATGTTCCGATAACAATAATTTTTTTTATCCTTTTATTTGTAAGTCAAAAAATTGTGAAATTATGCCACTAATCCTTAAGTTCCTTAGGTTTCATAGTTTGAACTCTAAAATCCACATGATGTTCAATTTAATTCATTTAAATTTAGTTTGATTTATGTTCAATTGGAGTAAGGGTGTAAATATCATCATTCGCGTCTTACGCTGATGTGGAGCTAACTCGGATAAGATGCGGATTATGATTTGTGCCTTTCTGTAAATGGTACTATGGTACTAAATCAGTAAAATTTTCTGAAAGGATATATGACAGGTAAATAAAATCTGTCAGGATGATTTTTCGGTAAAATCACATAGAAAACAGTTTCACTGAACAAATTGATAGTTGACTGTAAGATGGTGTGCATGAACACGTGGTGAAATTGGATAAAAGTAAATAAAACTGAAAATCGAACTGTTCTCAGTTCCATAGCCTCCCAGGCCATACCGCACAAAATGGACGCCGTTTTAAGACCATTGGTTTTCAACTTAATAGGGTTATAAATAGGCTTGTAAATGAACTGAAAGTTCAGTGAATCGTTCATGAATCGTGTGGCAAGAAGTTTATTTATGTTTGTTTATTTATTAAATGAATGAACATGAACACGATTTTGCGTTCGTTTAATTAAATGAACAAACACAAACAAATGGCTCGTTCGTTCATTTACGTTCGTGAACGTTCAATTATATGTTCGCTTATGTTCGTTCATTTGTGTTCGAACAGAGAATAAGTTGAATATATTATCATGATTATTGAAGTTGTTTGTATTTCAAGAATATTGTTGTGTTGAACAAATTAACTTTAAGACTTTATTATGTTCATATAGTTTATTTATGATTTATGTATATTTTTATCGTATTCGAACAAATTAACTCTAAATTTACATGTTATATTAATAAATTTTAAATTGTTATTTTTGTTGTTTACTTTTTTTTACATTCATTTGTTGTGTTCGAATAAGTTTATCTTTTGTGTTTGTGTTGTTCGTTTATGTTCGTTTATTATGTTCGTTCGTTTGTGTTCGTTTACGTTCGTTTATCATTTAAATGAACGAACATGAACAAGCTGTATTCCTTAATAAACGAACATGAACAAATTTTTTTTCTTCGTTTATGTTCATGTTCGTTTATTTATTAAATGAACGAACATTAACATATCTCCGTTCGTATGCGTTCGGTTCGTTTACAGGCCTAGCTATACATGAATCGAATATTTAGTAAATAGTTTGTGTATCATTCGTCAGAAAATACGTTTATATCCATTTATTCGTTCATTTATGTCGATCGTTAATCTATTCCTTTATATTCGTTTGTTTATGTCCAATTAAATTTTTTGATATATTTATTTCCTACCCAACAACTCATCATCTATTTTATTTCATGGTAGATTGAAAAAATCCCTAAATCGTTTAAATTTGTATTCATTTATATTTGTTTATGTTCTTTTATTTATTAAATAAATGAGTATTGATAATATTTTATGTTTGTTTAATTAAATGAACGGACAAAAAAAATATTCGTTCGCTCATTCATATTTGTGAACGTTTGATAATTTATTTCTCTATGTTCCTTTAAATTTTTTCATATATATATTTGTCATCCAACAACTTATTCTTTTTTCCATTTAACGTTAGATTGAAGAAAACTCTGAATTGTTTAAATTTATGTTCGATTATATTCTTTTATATTTATTTATTATTTCAACGAAAAATAAATACAAATATAAAAACAAAATTTTATATTCATTTAATTGTTTATATTTATTTATTTAATTAAAATGACATGAACACTCCTAAATATTCTGTTCGTATTGGACATAGAAGAGACGAAGAAAAGCATGTTTTCCCACAAAAGTTTGATCTTTTACATAAAAGGGTACATTTTAACCAAGCGTATAAAAAATCTGCCCTTCCCCTTTTCCTTTCTCCCTCAGAGCTCAGCTGAAGAACCCACCAAGCCTCTAGAGATTGAAGCTAGAAACGGAAAGATATGAACTAACTTCATTTTCTTTCTTTTGTTGGGTTTTCTATTTCTTGCATGTTGATGCTATTTGGTAGCTTTAACTCGCTACTTCCACTCACTTCAAACTCCTTTCGACTCTCTCATGGCTAATAACCCCCACGAAGCTCCCGCCGATGATTTCCTTGAGCAAATCCTCGGTCTCCCTAACTTCGCGCCTTCGGAGGCGGGTTCAGCGGGACCCGACGGTGGATTGGCTGGAACCGCTGCGGCGCCAATGTTTCTACAGCTCAACTCCGGTGATGGCGCCGGACATCTCGGCGGAGTTGGAGGCGGTGCGTTTACCGGACAGGTTTTTCCGTTGGGGTTGAGTTTGGACCAAGGAAAAGGCGGGTTTTTGAAGCCCGACGAAGCTTCCGGCAGCAGCAAGAGGTTTCGTGATGAAGTCGTCGATGGCAGGGCTTCTTCTGTAAAAAACGTAAGAAAAATTGTTATTTATCTTTTCTCTTCATTTATCGCTATCATTTTTTTGTTTGTTTGGTCCCGAAAAGGATAAATATCTCTCTTTTACATCAGTAATTTTCTTTGTCATGTGCTAACTGATGATACATTTCTTATTTTATCACTTTTTTCCCAGTAACCGTTACATGTTTCTCTGTCCTTGTTGAATTATTTCAAGTTTTGCATTGTCAAGGCTGAGCCTGACATCCAATTTCTCTGTCTGGTTCTTTATCATGTTCGTAAGTCCTCGCGTTTCAGTCCAACAGCACAGAAGACAAGGGAAAGCATGACAATTTTTGGTACTTGACAAAGGAAAAAGTACATCGAGGTCTTTCTAGGATCTTATGACATAAACTAACCACAGTGCAGAATTATTCAATTTCCCTGCTAATTACCTGAAAATGAAAGCTTTACTTTTTGAGGACCAAAGAGTTATGTAGTGAAAGAAAACTCTGATATCTCCATTAATAAGTGACCGTTGATTCCTTAGTTCGAAGTAAAGTGATGTTTTCCTCATAAACTTTGCCAATTTTTCTAATGTTAGTGGTTCATTTACCCTAAGACTGCCTATAGCCGTAAAAAATTTTGAACATCATATATGATCGAGTTAACTTATCCGTGGAAGGTGTCAAATTTCAGAAGATGTTCTATCATATGAAGCAGTTGGTTTTGTACTTTAGTTATTTATAATGCCTGTTTATTCTACAAATTTTATGGGAAATGTTATGCAGAACTTTTTAAAATTCTAAAAGTCCAATTATAGTAAGATTTCTATTGCCTTTTGAACTGGTAAATTCTAAAACATCAGATTGGGTTTACTCAGAACTATTATGGTTATGATGATTTTTTACCCCTTCTCATTGTTGGGAGGAGAGATGTTGTTTGGGAGAAAATGGTTTAGGAGAGATGTTGTTTGGGAGAAAATGGTTTAGTAAATCCTATCATTGGTGATATGACTTGTATAACTTTCCAGGTTTTCCATGGCTCTCCAATGCCAGCAAATGTTGCCCCATCGCCACATCCACCAACAATACGTCCGAGGATGCGGGCTAGACGAGGACAGGCCACAGATCCACATAGCATTGCTGAACGGGTAAGCTTAATTTATCAAAAATAAAACAATCACAGGAAATCATGACAATGAAAAACTATATTGGACGGCAGTCATCGAGTCGCATGTTTCTGTTGGAATGTGGGGCAATTCAAAAGGATTAGAATCCGACATTCCTTAAGAAACTCATTGGGACTAGTGTTTATAAGCCATTTCACATTATATAACTTGTAAGAGTGACGTTGAGGGGTTGGACTTGAGTGCCCAAGAACAAGGATCAATCATTCGAAAGGATCGAGTAGTGTAAATTGGGAATTCCCTGTGTGAATTTTCTTTTAGATACTATTTTTGTTATTTAGTATTTTAATATGCAAAGCTGAAGTTTATCCCCCTGAATGGAGTTATATATGTTTCACAGTTACGCAGGGAAAGAATTGCTGAAAGAATCAGAGCATTACAAGAACTTGTTCCTAGTGTTAACAAGGTCAGTTCCTTTCTTTCATTGTTTCATATGATTGCGTGTTGCCATTATCTTGTTGAATGACCTTGCAATATAGTTTTACAAATAACCTTGTGGAGTGAAGCTTTAAAACTGTAACTTTATTGTTGTTTGAGGGTTTCTCCACTTCCTCCGGCTCATCTCCTATCTAATTGTGTTGTCTGTTAGTCAAATTGCATGTAAAAATTGAATGCATTGGGGTGTCCTAATCTGGGAGGTAGTAACTCGTAACTTAACAGTTCACTAGTGTTGTTTAACCTAGCTAAGTTGATCATTGCTATATGGATCTCTTTGAGACCGGTAAGTTTATGGTAGATTTTTGTATTTGGGGGAAGTTTAACCATGTTGATATTTCTTACTTCATTTAGTAGTGACATGTTCCTTCATGCAGACTGATAGAGCAGTCATGCTCGACGAAATTGTAGATTATGTGAAGTTCCTGAGGCTCCAAGTTAAGGTACCATTAACTTTGTTTACCTGCTTGATTTTGTACTTTGTCTTCGTATATATATTTTAACTAATATACATATATATTAATTGCATATTGTAGTGATGTGTAGTGCTGCTTTGGTCATGTCTATGGGATTTGTCTACGATGTCTTATTAGATGAACGTTCATTTTAGTTTCCCAAGCTTTCTTTTGTCAGTGTTCTTGGGAGTCATTGTTGGTTGATTATTTAACAGGTTTTGAGCATGAGTAGGTTGGGCGGGGCAGGTGCAGTGGCACCACTTGTAACCGATATCCCACTATCATCGGTTGAGGTATAACAAATATGTAATTTTTCATACGTCCCACATTTTCCTTTTATAATTTATTGCGGCTGTTGAACTGGGCAATTGAGATTCCTCTATTAAACACCAGGATGAAAGTGGCGAGGGTGGAAGGAGCCAACCGGCATGGGAGAAATGGTCAAACGACGGCACGGAGCGACAAGTTGCCAAGCTCATGGAACAGAACGTTGGAGCTGCCATGCAATTCCTCCAATCAAAGGCCCTTTGCATCATGCCCATCTCACTGGCCACGGCAATCTACCACGCGCAACCGCCGGATACCTCCTCCGTCGTTAAGCCCGAAACAAATCCTCCTTCATAGACCCGAGAAAGAAAGGAAACAAAAAATAAGGGTAAGCATCCCACAGTCCCGTCCTGGGTCCCGCATTACAAAAAATAAGTCAGATGCTTTGCCATTCTTTTCCACCACCTTTGTTTTGTTTTTCAAACAGGGTTTGATGTCTGCCTAAGAAAATACCGGCTGGCCCTTCATGTCTTGACAAGTTAAAAGATGAAAAAAGGGGGGCAAGGAATTGTCAAACCTCACTTGATATGCTATTCTCCTTTTTGTATCAAAGGTGAGGTTAGTGGACAATGATGGAAGCACCTTTGTAGTGGGGGGCTCTGATTTTTGGTTAGTGGGTTGTCGGCCCTACAAAATATATATATTGTACTATAGTGTTATTGTAACACTGGTGTTTTCAGAGGAAAGGAATGCACAGTGTAGTAGAAGAATGGATAATGGTTGGCTACTCTAAAATGCTTGTTGTTTTTAAATCCAACTGATACTTGATAATGCCTAACTTTGTTTCCTTGAAGTAATTTGACTTGCCTTTTCCTAGTTGTAATGGGATCATTATTATAATGGGTCGGACGGAGCCACCGAGGGGGGTCGAGAGGATTGGCCTGGCCGGGTTTGGTTAGTTTCCAACTTCCAAAACTTATTATTATTCTTGAAGTAATGAGATAAATCTTATCCCAAGCCAAGGATATATTATCTTTTCCACTTCTACTACATTTGATTTTTTGTGTGTGTGTGTGTTCATATATTTTTGTTGTTAGAATTAGGTTTCAATTATGGTATATTCTGTGTTCATAATATGTATGTTTGATGATATTTATTTAAAAGATGTTGGTAGGAAACATAATGAACATCACCTGAGAAATTAGTGAAGTCATGTATTTACATGCTGAAAATTAATATTCAACTCATGAAAGGAAAATTAGTGTGCATACGTTGTTAATAGTTTAAGAAAATTTTAAATAAATATTATCTTATACTAGAATATTAAATAGGGTATAAATTCCCCGTTCTTCTATTGTAACCATCTTCATGCTTTATTTTGAATGCCGTTTATCTTGGGCATTATGGCACTATATTTTGAGAAGTTAACAGGAAGAATCAACCCAAGGATATTGTTCAAAGAGTGAATGTAATCGTATCGCTTTAAGTTGTATGTAGCAGTTTGTCCTAGGAATAAAATTTCAATATTCCAAAAAGGTGTGTGTGAGTGTGTGTGTATATATATATATATATATATATATATATATATATATAGAGAGAGAGAGAGAGAGAGAGAGAGAGAGAGGAATACACATGGAGCATGCATGATTTAGTTTTATTACAAGATAGAACAACCGAATCCTGCTTGAACATGATATAGACATACATTTGCAATGAAAAAGAGCGAAAGTAAATAGTTTGGACCATTGCTAAGCTTAGAGGGACAATCCAGACTCCTCATTCTCTTCAAGGGAGGAAGTGTAAACAAAGTAAAGAGCCCAAATCAAGCCGAATACTCCAAACAAGATCCACCCAAGAAGATTGTTACTCAAACCAAAGGGAAGTCCAGTTCCTTCGGTGGACATTCTCTCGTCTACCAGAGCCATGGCCGGCGGGCTTGACATGGTTGCCGCACAGGCTGCTGCCAGCAACGATGCACTCATGCCCATGCCCATGCCCCACCCTTTGTCCTCACCACAACCCTTCTTCTCCGCTGAACAACACATCACTTTCCCTTTCTTTGCCATCGTTGGCAGCCCTGAAAACAAAATTTGCAATTGAGGTGAAAATGAGAACAACCCCTTTTAAATTATCATACAAACTTACCAATAGCAACTGGGGATGCAAGCCTGGGTGATGGCCTGCTTGCAACAGCTGCAGGGGTGATTGATGAGGTAGCTGATATGGTCGCCATACTGGGAGAGAGAGACAGAGAAGAAACTGCTAAAGCTTCAGCTTAGTGATTTTGCTACAATGGCAGTAGAATACAAATGCCAAACCAATTTACCCTCTTCGTTTGATATCCCCTATCTACATAGACCCAACCAATTTCGTCCACGTGTCACAAAATCCACCTATGAATCATTACAAAGATAAGAAAGCCAACTTGGACCCTACATTTTATTGATATGATTCAAAATAAAAATTAAAAGGTTTTTTTTTAAAGTATATCTAATCCCCCCCCGCCGGGATTCTTATCGTCGTAAATTTTGAATCAAGCCCTACAAGATTATAAAAAAAATGAATCAAAGAATCCCACTTGTATGTTTCTGATCATCAATTACTCATTGATATTGCATTGTTGCATGTAAGGTTGGTCATACTGCAAATGCTTGCTCCAATAGCCCTTGTATTTTGCGATTCCGATTTCCAACCATGGTTTCATGACCCCATCATAATGTAAAACTGCCGCATCCTCCATATCACTCGAACTGAGACCCGCGTTATAACCTAGCCCGAGTGTGTGCCATCTCTTATCTAAAGCCACAGTCTGGTTGTAGAAGGTAATCCAACCCAAGGGCAAGCTTCCCGCTTTCCACAATGGCCTCTCAAGTCCCTGTAACAAACCAGGCAAACAAGCATATGATAAAACACATAGCCGCACGAAAAATCTTGAAAACAAGCTTTGAATTAACATTCTTATCGATCCGTCAGAACAGAACATAGTACTGAAATGGAAAACAAGCAATCATGTCATTTAGAAGAAAGGTAAGCATCTTTTCAAGGAATTAATGTGCTGCCAAAAAGAAAAAAAAATCACAAGCATAATATATTAACATGGAGCAAATGCAAAAAGAAAATAAAAGCCCATACCAGTTGCACATAAGCTCGATAGAGCCCGGTTAAATTCTTTCTTCTCCATTCTTGGAGTTCAAACAAATTCATACCAAATGCCCATGTGCAAGCATTGGCATCAAACCTCTTCTGCAAAAATGGGTCTGACAAGTTCAGAAACATATGCATTGCACGATACGAAGCTTCTCTTTCCAGACAAGTCTCCACAGCAGCATTTACCTTCCCCGTCATGTCAACACTCCAAATTTCAGTTAAGTCTCTTTGCACTACCACATCGTGATCAAAGAGCACGATTTTATTCAGTGCTGGAAAGATGTCTGGCAGATAGAACCGAAGATGGTTAAGGACAGAAGTATATCTTGGATCATTGGACTTCTGTTCTTCTGATGTTGAACTATGACTGGTTGCTAACCAATCAAAACTTTCTATGCTCTGAATATGAATTGTAGCTTTCCCGGGAGGATTTAATAAAAACCACATTGAAATTGCAGGGAGGTTGAGAGAATCTGTCACCACATGAAAAACAATTTTCTCCGGTTCCTGCATCGTCAAAACTAATTATCAGGGTAAATTACATCTACCAACATGTAAATCATAACAAGTAAACAGTTGTTCTCCAGTAAAATAAAACAACAGAGCATCCTCACATGATCTAGCACGGTTATATTATGTGAGCGTAAAATAGAGACAAACACTTTGAATAAGCACAACAATGTTTAACCTCATAAAATAAGCCAAGCTTGGAATTTAATGAAAATTGATAAAATAATAAAAAACCTGAAAGTAGCGAAAGCAGTTTACCTTTGCAAAGGAAATTGTGGAGTTAACAACCACTGCACAAGCCAAAATATTGTCAGAGAATACAGCATAGTGATAAAGGTCTGGATCATTCAACTTTTGTTGGTTAGGGAACTGCCTTTCCTCAGGTTGAAGGAAAAAATATTCAGCTGTCAACCGCATGGAGAGGCAGTGAAGGCCTTTAGGGGTAGTCCTTCCAGCAAGTTGAACAAGATATGACTCTTGATTCTTCTGTGCCCGAATCTGTTCTTCAGCATTATAAGCCATGGCACGAAGTTTTGTTGCCATCTGAGAGCAGTGAGGGTATGCACGACTTGCTTTGGACAATGAAGCCTCCATTGCTTTCATTTTCTGTGAAGCACTGCAAAAATCAACTGTTCCTCAGATATGAAGTTTGTTATTGGATATAAAATGCATAGGCAAGTTTTGTCTATTTCCATACCTCCGTGGCAAATCAGATTCCTTGCAGGCATCACCGACTGCTTGTTCAACCTCTTTGATTCGCGTTCTCAACTCTTTAATTAAGTGAGAGTTACTATTTGGTGGTGCAAAATTTAAATATGCTTTTGCCCTAATGATCTGATCTCTCATCAGATTTATCTTCTCATCCACTTCCACGTGTGACTGAGACTGCAGATACTGATCACGTCTGCCTCTTCCTTGATTGTGCAAATGCTGGTCATGTCTGTTTCTCTCTTGGTTGTGCAAATGTTGATCACGTTTGACTCTTTCTTGATTGGGTTGCTCCTGCAACCAATAAATAAGTGTTAACTGTATGTTATGTATATGCATGTAGGTATATATATATACTCAAGCTCTGACATTCTAGCGAATAACAAACCTCATCCTAACCCCTCCACACACACAAACACACACCCAAAAAAAAAAAACTGTTTGTAACCTTCAGATTCTGACAGCAGTATTACTGAAGAGATTTTGGTAAATAGAATGACATAAATTGTGTTCTGGTATTGCTCAGATCTAGAGATCAGTGATTCAATGACTTTTGCATTACAAACAGTCACAGAGGCACAAAATGAATGTAGCGGAGAGCAAATTAAAATATCATGAATCGGACATTGTGGCACAAAATGATAAGAAGGTGATCTGGTCCAATTTTCAAGGCTTATGATTTTATCAGCTAGTTTTACCATAACTACTTGGTGTAAAAAAAAGAAAGAAAAAAAAGAAAAACCTTATCTTCATATACCTTTTTCCTGGAGTTCACGAGTTTGATCTTCTGCTGAATTTGATGCTCGTCTTTTCCTTCATGAGTAATTTCAGACTTTAGAAATGGAGCAACTCAGAGTCACATCTAACTCAATAAATGAAAGGTCAATGACAAAATGCACCTAAATAAATACTAACCACTTGTTTCTAACAATTTAGACGCATTTGGAGCATTCCCAGATTGGTACAAATTATGATTCTCATCAGAACTGTGACTAACTACAGAGCTAAAATCCTTCTCTTTGAAAACAAGTTTTGGACCTTTTAATTCCTCGGCACTTTCCTGAATAAGAAAGCAACAAAGATCGACAAGCATAAACTGTGAAAATCATTTCAAGATAAGACGCCCAAAGCAAAATGCACTAAATCCTTATCTTAAAACTACCTGCTCAACTGCATTAAATCTCAAATTATCTGCCCTATGTTTCTGTACCAATAAAAAAACATTACAAACCAATCAAAAGATAAAAAATAAAACAGAATTCACTTAAGAGAGATCCGTACAATACTGGCCAAATCCTCAATAAACTCCCGCTTGCCTGCCGTGACAGAATCAAAAAATGCAAAGAAAACAAGATCAGTCAACATCTCAAAAATTAAATTAAATAAAAAAAGGAAAGTGTAATATATAAATTTTCGGTTACGAAGGAAGAAAAATATCTGATTCGATTCGACAATGTATGTTCACTTAAAGTAATACAATTTCTTTTGTATACTTAAGATGCAAAATACTGCAAAGTAATCCTCATTGCCTTTCTTGTCTGATCTACTATTCCATTAAAAATAAACGCGTTCCAGTTTGCATAAAAAGAGAGAAAAATAAGTGATAGTAGAAAATCTGCAGATTCGAAGAGGATTACCAATGGAAGTGAGGGTTTTGAGTCCGAGAGAGACCAGCATGATTGGAGCTAGTACAGAGAAAGAGAGCAACGAGAGGATCACAATCCTCAGCCATCGACGATGCTTCTTCATCAACCGATAAAAATTAGCAAAAAAAATGAAAATGAGAATGGTAAAACGAAAACAAAAACAATCCTTCGCCCCTTTGAACTTCCTTTTGCTTCCTTAATCGTTGTCCAAAAAACACATTACGCAGGTTCAAATCGGCAACTATTCGATGCTTGGGTTACAAGGAACAGAAGTTAAACAAAACAAAAGATTTTTTTTTGTATATTTTTTCCAGAGGGGAAAATGTAGGTTTTGGCTGTTCACGTTGTGGGTCTACGATTGGAGTAGAAGAAGGAGACTTTTCTCGCCTTTTTTTATTCTTTTCTTCTCCGATTTTCTTGCCTTTTTTTCATTTTGATTTTTTCACGTTTCATGGATTTAAATTGTTCTCTGATCTGGAAATTTGGATTCTTATAAATATATATATGGATGGATATAAGCTGGAGGCGAGGGGTTTCTGAACTCCCAACTTGGACCTTACCCTTTTCATTTTATTGACAGAGATTTGAATCGCGAGAAGGGCGAGGGAGAGAGATTGTGAATTCTGATGCCGTACTCTCTGCTTTATGATAGGGATGATGGCTATTGGCCGTTGATATAATGAAATTGATTTTTTTTATTCGCATAGCTGTCGATATTTATTCTACAAATTATTTCTGGAATTATCATCTTTCCCCCGCAATAAAAAGGGTTGGTTACAATTTGTAATTTTGTCGGATATTTAAATTTCAAAATATAATATAATTATATTTGTTAAATAATTTAATTTAATTTAATATTTGATTTTAAGTAAAATATTAAAAATTAAAGTATTTAAATTTGATTTTTTTAATAATTAATAACTCAAACCGGTGGAGGTGGAGAACAAATTGATAAGTATGAAACAAAATTTAAAATTTAAATACTTTATGATAAGAAGTATAAACAAGGATTGAGTTATGAAATTGAGAAAATAAAAAAAATATTTGTATGATTATTGGTTCGGTTTAGAAATTAATTTAACAATTTAATTTGATTTTAAAATTTCATATTAGATTCATTTATTTTAAATTAAATCGAATTAAAAAAATAATGATACAAATTAATTTTTTTGAATTTGTTATAAGATATATTTTTTTAATATTGTTATAAGATATATTTAAATAAATAAAATATTATCAATAATTAATTTGTCTAGTAGGATAAGACATTAGATTCTTTAATCAAAATCAGGGGTTCAAATCTTAGTGTTTACGAATGGAGCAAACTGGGTTGGGAGGGTTGCTCTTGACTATGCAATACTCGATATGGATTAGTCGATCAATAGATCAGATACCAATAGTTAATTTAAAAATAAATAAAATATTACTAGTTCGAGCTCTGATATTTGTGAATGGAGCAAATTAAACTGGGAGGGTTGTCCTTGCCTCTGCAGTACTCGATTTGGATTAATCAATTAATAAATCATATATTAATGATTATTTTAAAATATAAATAAAATATTATTATTCTGTTTTGATTTCAATTTACATCGCATTATACAGTTCAGTTCATTAATAAATCAAATTAAATTGAATCGAATACAGTCCTAATAATGTGTGGATTACCCTTATACATAGAATAACGTTGCAAGTAGAGGAAAATGAAGGAGAATGCGCAACGTGTAAAGAGAAAAGATGCGGTTAAAGCAAGTAGGTGTGTCCATTCATCACAAACTCAGCAACCTGTCTCGGCTGCAAGTTAATTCTAAACTCTCTCTCATCTACCATTTCTCACATACTTACATGACTACCATCTTCGTTCTGGTTTTGCTGATGCAAATTCCAATTCCCACCTAACTTTTATTCCAATCCACTTGTATTATAAGTGTAAGCAAATACTAATTATTGTACTTTATATTACAGTTAGTGGTGGACTCACACCTTTCTGACAATAGATATGCGTAGATTTTGAAATCTAAATTTTTTCGGTTAATTATTTATTTTATTAATATTATCTACTTTAAAATTTTATTTAAATTAATTTTATTTAAAAAAATTATATTATTAACATATGTGTGTTCACTCTCAATAATATTTATGTATCTACATTGGTTATAGTTATTTATATTGATAAATCTAACTTAAAAAGATAGAATTCATCAAGTGACCTTACTAGTTAAAGTGTTGGTTCTTTCTAAAAGTCTCAAATTCGAACAATTACGTATATAAAATATGTATTATCGATGACTAAAAAAATATAAATATATATTAACTTGTAATTATTATAATTTATTATATATATATATATATAATAAAGGGAGTGGTTGCATACGAAATGTGTGTCCCAACTCCCGAGGATCATGCCTTATGCCAACCAACTACCATTCCATTCGTAAAATAAAGAATTAAACATATTGAAATAATATTTTAGGAAAATAATATTTAAAATTGAATATACACCACGTAACCTCATTGTTTTTTGTTGGCGAATTTTATTGTCTTTACCAGTGTTGGATAATGTTATTGTTTTTACCATTACCATTGTTACCGCCATTAATATTGCTATTGTCATTGTCACTATCTCATAAATCATGTAAATTTATATTATTTGTTTAATAATTTATGTCTAGAGGTTACAAGTTATATATGAATTTTATCAGTGTAGTAATGTTTTGCTAAACTCCTAAAATGGTGTGTATTTATATACTGCGGTAGATCTATATATATTCGAGGGTAGACATGTGCCAACTTTGAAATTTAATTTTCGTTTACGTTAATTACGTATTTAATTAATGGTATCCACCCATTCAAAAAATTGTATTAATAACATATGTGTCAACCCTTAAAAATATTTATAAGACTATCACCGTATATTATGTGTACGGATTTATAATATATATTTAAATTGACCTTTTCATTGATTATTATTCTAAAAGCATAACTTTGTTTTTTAAATATGGGTTGTTAAACTTTTGTGGAGCGATGGAGTAGGTATTGAGGTGTATAGGTTAAGTATATAACTTAATATTGTTTTAATATATTTAAAATAAAAATGAAGATGAATGGAAATGAAGGACGGTGACTTTTACTTGTAACCGTCGGTGAGTGTAGTTGGCCACCTATTTCACGTTAAACAAACTATTGTTTTCATTTTCCTTGGAAATGAGATTCTATACATTTGCTGAAAAATATAGGGAGTTGCGGTTGTTGTTGAGTAGAGGGCGTTTGGCAGTGGCAGCATGCGCACATGACTTTGGAAAATATTATTGTTTTAGCCAACCAATATTGTTTCCTACTTCTCGGCTTATCCCCGTAGATTGGTGCAAGAGTTTACCTACTCCATTCCAGAAATTGTAAAAATTTCACAGATTTTATTTTTAATAAAATTTAAGTTTACTTTAAAAATAAGTAGTTAAAGTATATTCTTGGTCATTTTGTATGTTTAAAGCCCCACCTCATTAAAGTAGCACTAAGGCACAATAGGTCTATAACGGCGGTTTTTTAATCTATAACGTTGTTTTAAAACATCGCTAAGTAGAGCACAAGGTTCTTAACCTTGAGGTCGTGGAATCGAGTTCCACAGAAGGCATTTCATAATTCGGAGGTCTTCTACGGAAGTTGCTCTCAACCTGGTGTTGGGGGCAGCCTACAATCTTACCTCCCCTTATCCCATTACATATGGGAACAAGGGACATCCATTTTAAAAACGCTCCCGAGCAACAACAACAAAAAGTCACAAAAAATGTCGCTAACACAAACTCTTCTAATTTTTTTTTTTGCTGGGAAACGTCACAACAGGTAAGATTATTTAACGGCATTTGAAATACAAATAAATAGGATTTACCTAAGATAGCGTTTTGGATGCTTGAAAGAGCAATTATTTTGAACAAAATAAATAGGATTTACTACAAATAATCAAGTCAATATGAGTCTATTTTGTTCTGGTTCGAACAGAACCCAACTTATCTAAAAGTGTCTAGAATTCCTTACATTCATTGATTTCTAAGCTATGGCATAAAAGGAAAAGAAAACACAGCTGTGTTATCAGCTATAATTTCCATGGAAAGACCCAATAGATCCTGAAAAAAGAATCTAAATACAGAAAACAACATTCAAATTGAACCAAAAGAAATTCCAAAACAATAAAAACTCACCAGGAACAAAAGAAATTGACCCAATTAGTTGCCATTGTAAAAGGCCAACTTTTCTCCTCAAATTAAATTATAAAATCGAATACTTAAAAACAAAACAGGGAACAAATTTATGGCTTTGGGAACAGAACTCACCAGGAATGGTGTTGGAGGCGAGGATTGCTGGGCATGGTGAAGGCCACGACGGCGTTGAATGGTGGCAGCCTGCTGTAGCTTTGTGGGTAAACTGTAAATGGCGAAAATCAGAAGAAGAAAAAGAATATGAAAAAGGGTTAGGGCTTCAGGAGATAAAAAAAACTGAAACTTTGCCTCGTTTTCCATTAGAAACCCCACTAATGTGTTACTAATTGCGGTGTTTGATAACAAATGCCACCACACGTGAACCATATTACGGTGTTTTTATTTACAAACACCACAGATGTTATCAAAATTTTCGATCTTAAATGAAAAACGCCACTATATATAAGTTTATTGTAGCGTTTGTTTCAAAAACGCTACTAAAGTACTAGTCTTTCACGGCGTTTGTCACAAAAACACCGTTAAGGTTATCATTTTGTGGTGTTTACATCGCAAACGCCACGATATGTATAAAATTAGTTGTGTTTGCTCTGAAAACGCCGCTACAAACATGTTTTGTTGTAGTGTAGGTATCTAACATTTTCTCTATTATCATTTAAAGCGTCTAAAGTTTTATTTCATTATCCTTTTAAGGTCATCCGATCAATGATTTTTAAAAAAAAATCCCATTAAAGATCGAAGATCACGCAACGAGTAACGAACGAAGGGTTGTGCAACTAATATTTTTGTTCGAGCAACGAAGGTAATCTTACCAACGGTGACGAATAGGTAATTATTGTGTTAAAAAAATAATTTTTTGTGACAAAATTTAAAGATGGCATGAGATTTCAGATGACAACATGCGACAGTAAAAGAACGATCGATCGATGATAGTCCAAAAAACCTTTAGATGAATTATCATTTAGATGAATTATTTAGATGAATTATCATTTTTTAAATTAAATTATGAAATTATAAAATTTATTAAGTGGCCTTAGTGACAAACAAGAATGTTATTCTCTTAGAGAGGTTCAAGTTCAAGTAGCTATGTCTACAAGGTGTATGTTATCAATAAACAAGGAAAATTTCTAAACATATACTACTCCTTATAGTCACCCCAAATTATTCAAAAGAAATTATAAAATTTCAAAAGTACTTTTAAATATGGCATTGACCACTACAAGAACAAACAAAATAGTAATTGACACATAACAACAATATTTGTATGGCTTAACATCTTAAATAGCTACAGACTTGCAAGTATTTATAAGGAAAGGGAAAAAATTATAATTGCTTATCTTCCATATGTAACAACCATTGG